TGGGCCGCCTTTGTGCATCACTCGAGGCAAGGCCTGTAGACTTTCCCAGTTATGTGTCCCACTTACTCAGAATTTCTTCTATAGGTGGCTTGTGATATCCAGTGTAATTTCTTAATTTGTTCATCTTCATAGTTTGACATAGTTTTGAAAGTCGAAATATGAACACAGTAGTTAGTTTGTTGGAATAAAATAATAGGGCTTTTCTATTTTCATTAGAAATAAAAATAGATTTTAATTTTCTTATTAAACGACTCAAAAATTTTAAAGGATGTGTTTGTATGAACGTGTGTGTGTGTGTCTATGTCAGTGCGTCAGGGCATATGTGTGGATGAGTGGATATGTTTGTGTGTGCATATGGAAGCCAGAATTCCCACTGTGTCATTCTCTGCCTGTTTCTTTAAGGCAGGGTGTTCTTCAGGCACCTTCCTCCTTTTTGTTCTTTTGAGACAGTCTCAGTTCAGTGGCCTGGGAGTAGCTGAGTAGGCTAGCATGCCCTAAGAAGCTGCCTGTCCTGGCCTCCCCAGGGTGGGAGTGACAGTGTGCTGCCATGCCAGACTGTTTTCCCTTTCCCTTCCAACAAGGTAGGTATTTACTGTTGGAGCTGGCTCTCTAGCCCCACAGAGTGTGCCTTATGCTCCTCAGTCGTACTTGTACTTGGCTTCAAGTACAAGCTCTGGGGTAGGACTGCTCGCACCTGGAGGGATGCTAGGATTGGGACACTCAGCATGGGTGAAAGCAGCAAGCTGCCCTGGCTTGTGTGCCTGGATTGAACTAGTTCTCGACATATGTTAATATCACATCATTAGTCTTACAACACTCTCTTACATTTGTTTGTGTGGTGGCTATATGTGCATATGTGGAAGTTAGACGGCTTGTGCCTTCTCATTCCATTATGTGAGTCCTGGGGAGTTTGAACTTAGGTTGTCAGCCCTAGGTGTTCTACCATGTAGCACAGGCTGGACTCAAACCCAAGAGATCCACCTGGCTCTGCCTCCCAAGTGCTGAGATTAAAAGTGTGTATCAGGTCTGGTGCCTATGGTCTTTATGCCGAGGTTTTGAGTTTGTCAAAGAGTCTGATGCCTCCTGAGACCTTGCCATTTCTTATGCTGAATCTCAGATGTGCCCCTTCACCATTTACCACGTGACAGACATAAAAAAGATAACTATAGTGATAGTGATACATGCACTTCATTCCCTCTCAATTTTAAAACTTCAAATCTTAAAATTGAAGGTTTTTCAAGGTTTTATTAATTTAGTATATGAAAGTTTAAACTTAACTTTATAAGTGAAATAATTACTAGGTTTGCTCCTTGTTTCTATCCATATAATTCAGGGTAAGAGGCCTATGCTTCAGTCTGTTCTCAAGCTTTCAAGTTCCTTTGACAGCCTGGATATGAAGTTTAAAAGCTATTAATGTGATGTGTTAATTTTGCACTTTTTGACTTATTGCAAAATCTTATAGTTTCCATAGCAACAATAACCTATCCAGATTGTGTAATATTCTTTACAGTATTAAAAATAAAACTGCAATTCCATGAGTTTCTGGAGAACTTCATGTAAGAGAACTGGGACTCGAAAGATTTCAGTGAAAAATAAGCTGTAATTGAATGTGAAAAATGTGTCAAAAAGCTTTTTATAGTTTTAAGAATTAGTAGCTTTAAATATTCAGTAATAGGTAGCTGGTAGCTAATTTGATGATTAGGCACGAAGCATGTACATTACATTTGTCAGTATTGTAAGCACACTGGTCCCATGCAGTCCAAAGTCCTTACACTTTAGAGAAGAGGCAGCACTGGCTTGACTGCTCCGTGAACTCTGTGCTTTTCTAGTGGTTACTGAATGGTCCGGAAACCGTGGAAGAAAGGAGGAAAGGACCAGCTAAGCTTCTCCTATTGTTTGTCTTTGTTCCTCAAAATATGCTTGTGACCCTGCTGTGGTGGCACACACCTTTCATCCCAGTACCCTGGAGGCAGAGGCAGGTGGAGCTCAAGGCCAGCCTGGTCCATCTACATATTGAGTTCCAGACCAGTCAGAGCTTCATAATGAGACCCTGTCTTAACCTGCCTTCCCCAATATGCCTAAATTAATCATTTTGAAAATACTAAAGAATATTTAAAGTCAGCAGTTGTTTCTGGAGTCTCACATTATTTTGCTAGTAACCATTAAGTAACACAACTTCTGCATCTTAACATGTGTTTTTAAATTTTTGGATTCCTGTTTAATATATAGTTACATGTGTATATATATATTTGTAGTAGGATAGCCTGTATATTTTTTTGATAAGACATGATGTCCTAGTTGCTTTCTGTGGCTGTGGTAAAACACTGACCGTAAACAACCTGCTGGGAGGAAAGGCTTTACTTTGTCCTACAGGTCCATCACTGATGATGTCTGGGCAGGGACCTGGAGGCAGGAACAAAGGCAGGAACCACAGCCCAGTGCTGCTCATGGCTGACTCTCCATGGCTTGCTCAGCTCACTCTCTTACACAGCCCTGAACCACCTGCCCGGGGTTGGGGAGGGGAGGCTGGGAGGGCCCTGCATGAGTGGGCTGGACCCTCCTTCATCAGTCAGTAATCAAGAAAATCCCACAGACTCACTCGCCCACAGGCCAGTTGCACAGTGTGGTTTCCTTTTCTCCAGCCATGCTAGAGCACTGGCTCTCAACCTGGGTGTCCACCCTTTGTGTGGGTGTGGCTTGAACAGTCCTTTCAAAGGGGTCACATATCAGATAGTAACAGTATGATTTACAACAGGAGCAAAATCACTGTTATGAAGTAGCCATAAAAATAATTTTATGGCTGAGGTGGTCATACCACGAGGGAAAGGGTTGCAGCATTAGGAAGGCCCATGTTTCTAATGACCTTTATAGCAAGAATCCGGTAAGTTTACCACAGACTAGTCTTTTGACATCTGGTATATTTTCTGTTTACCCAAATACTCTGAAGGCTCTGGAACTTACTAGGCCCTGGGGCCAATCTTTAGCAGCACTATAATTTAAAAAATAAGTAATTAAAAGATGTTTACTTACCCTGATTGGTATATGATGGAAAAAGAATAGAATTTTTAGACTAGGTAGGAGTTAAGCATGTGTAACTCACTTACTTACCCCAAATAGGTGGTTAAGATGATAACAGGTGATGCTCGGACTGGGAGGTGGTGGCACATGCTTTTAATCTCAGCTCTCGGAGAGAGGCAGGTGTCCTGTGTCATGGACATCCTGAAGACCAGCTCTTTCATGTGCTGCAGCACATGGAGGGGTAGGTGTTGGGGTGGAACAACTGAGAGCCCTGGACCCTGGTTAGCTGGGAGCTCTCCTGCACCCTGGCCACTAGGGCCAGCTCTCTAGCACTGTCCCAGTAGCTGATCAGTGCTGCAGCCAGCAAGGGTTCTCCATCCAGCTCTTCTGTTCTCATGCTCGGGGGGCTGGCTCACCGGTAGGTGAGATGTCTTGTGGCAAACATTCTCAAGTTTGTTTCTTTAATGAATAGAGCTACATGTTCTCTAATCTTTTTCTGGCGTCCTACCCTTCTTTGCATTCCATAATTTTAGAATAGTAAGTCAAATGTTCTTTCCCAATTATTTCCACATCAGAAGTCTTTCATTTATATCAACTAGATCACTCCCATATCAAGTAAAAAAAAAATGTAGTCAGGCAATGAATAGCATATTTTAAAAAGGAAAAGTTCTACTCTTTGCATAATAATACTGTCTGTAGTGTCCCCAAGATAACAGTCCTTAGTCTGATTCTCGACACCTTATAGCTCTAACCTTCTACCAGTCAACCAGCAACACTAAGCTGTAACTGATGAGGAAGCTGGACTTACTTCATTTACCACCTGGCCAGACATTCAGACCTGCAGACTGCCTGCCAGGGATTTTGGGGAGTTTTCTTGCAGCACAGTTTTTCTTGATGAAAGAGTTACAGTGAATAAAGCAGAAACCTGGAACCGTGGGTACATAATACAAGAGTGCCACTTAAAATAAGAGCTCTTTGCCAGCGTGGTACTGCACACGGATTCTCAGCACTCGGAGTGAAGAGCAGGAGGAGCCTTGTGAATTCCAGGCTAGCCTAGTCTACACAGACAGTTCCAAGTTAGCTAGGGATAAAGAGGAAGACTTGGGAGAGAGGGGAGAGAAGGAATGGGAGAGAGAGAAGGAAAGAGAGGGGACCCATAGATTGAGAACAGTGTTTAATACAACCAAAAGATAAAAATTGGAGGGTATAGATTATGTCTCTTATTAGAACAATCCATGGCATGATTTGTGTTTGCAAGATCTTCAAATGACAGTGATGACCGTCAGCTGGGGCCTTCTTGTGGCTGTTTCTGATCTGTACTCTGAGGATGTCAGCTGTTACAATAGCCGCTTGTCTGCCCTCCCGCCTCCCAGTATTGAAGCATTGTACTGTATTGTATTGGTTAAAATCCTTGGTAACTGTTAGATTTCATTATATTCTCAACCCTGTCTTCTTTGCTTGTTTTCAGAACTCTCTTAACTACTAGATTTCTCCAGCAGTGTTTGAGAAAGCAATGTTCTTGAGTTTTGAAGTCTTAAAAGGCTTTTGCTTGGCGCCTTGTAACTGGGAACTAGTTAATCACATAAACTAGTTGTTTCTATCTGTCGGTTACTTTTGTATGATGGATTATAACAGAACAGCTCTGTAGAGGAATGTTCAGGAGTGGGTGTGCTCTTAAAATGTGCTTGGGTTTATGTTTATGCTTGTTTACTCTTTGAAACTAGTGCTGTCTTAGTACCCCATTCTCTTCATTCTGAATTTCACGTTTTAGGTCTGTCTGGTGTTCTTATTATAATTATTTTTCTTTTGGTATTTTATATTTCTATACTAGAAATATAAAAAATAATCAGCAATGCATGACATAATGACGGTGTTTAAATATTGAGAGACTAAATGTTTCCATTGTTTTTGTAGTTGTAATTTTAAATGTAATTGTAATATATGGAAAAATAAAAACTTTTTATTTTTCTCTTCACATGCAGAAAAGATGAAAAGGAATATGCACTTAAGCAAATCGAAGGCACAGGAATATCTATGTCGGCTTGTAGAGAGATTGCAGTAAGTAGATATAGTTTATTTTGTTATCAATATTGGATATTTAGTATAAAATATGCATTAATGTATTTCAGTGGATAATAATTTCACATTTAATTTAAGGATAGTTTATATAAAATGGGAAAATCTGGAAACTTAAAGTTACCAAAGTCATTTTTGAGCATTTTCTTTTTTTTAAGTTTTATTAAATTTATTTATTCACTATACATCCCAATATCAGCCCCCTCACCTGCCCAGTACCCCCTCTCATGGATCACCCTCCCATTACTCCCTCCCCTTCTCCTTTGGTTTTTTGTTTTGTTTTGGGGCTTTATTTATCTATTGATTTTCTTTGGGGAAAGGGGTTGCAAGGTGGAGGGCAGATACAGAGGGGTAGGAAGATGAGTGGGACTGGGGCGCACAATGTGAGTTTTACAAAGAGTCAATAAAAAGTAAAACAAACAAAAAACCCAAACACTATAGAAAAGGGATGGTAAAAAACCATCTGCTATAGCAACACTTAGAAATTATTTCCTTTGCAAAAATTCTTCTTCCCACACATAGAAAAATAGAGCCCATAACCTTTTTATGCAGTATGCTTTGGTCCAAAGTAATAAACAAGTAAATTTCAACTGTGGAGTGAGTTGATGTATTTATTAATCACACTAGGTTATATGGAGTGTGTAACATTGTGAGATGTAACTCCTGAGCACTCTGAAACAGTCGAGATGTTTGCATGGCAGAGAGTGGCTGGGAGGCAGTTAGTCAGGGCCGCAGGCCTTAGACGATAGGTTAGAGAGCTGCCCTAGTCTTTCTGATGGATGACAAACCTGCATGGACTGGATGTCATGAGAACATCTATTTGTGATACTTCTGGAGACTAGAGCCTCCAGTATCAGGGCACTGACAGTCTGTATCTGATATGGGCCTAGTGCCCTGGTTTATGGATAGTCGGCCATCATTGTCTTGGGTCTTCTACGATTGAAAGGGTGCAAGGAATCTCTCTGGGGTCTTTTAGAAGGGAGCCAATCACTTTTATAAGAGCTTTGTCCTCATGACTTAAAAATCACCTCCCACCTCCCACCTCACAGAGGGCCCATGAAGTAGTGATTTAATTTTTTTTCTGGGTGGTGGTGGCACATGCCTTTAATCCCAGCACTTGGGAGGCAGAGGCATGTGGATTTCTGAGTTCGAGAATTCGAGGCTAGCCTGGTCTACAGAATGAGTTCCAGGACAGCCAGGGCTATACAGAGAAACCCTGTCTCGAAAAAAAACAAAACAAAAAAAAATTTTTAAATTGGATATTTTATTTACATTGCAGATGTTATCCCTTTATACACCCCCACCCCGTCCCGTCCCGTCCCATCCTGTGATTTAAAATTTGAGTTGGGGTTGAAGCACTTGGGTAGAGTGCTGCACAAGTCTGAAGACTGGAGTGTCATCGCTAATACCCAGTAAATGCCGGGTGGGCTTGCCTCTAGCAAGATGCCTAGATAGACTCAAATGAGAGAAATAAAGTGTAATGAAGTCAAGGAAGACACTGGCCCCCATGTGCTTGTGCGTGCACACAATGTATGTGCACTTGCTCACGTGTGTATGTGCCCACACAAGTGAACATATATGCATGTTCCCACACATGTGCACAGACACACAGACACAGACACACACAGACACACACAGACACACACACACAGACACACACACACACACACAATCATGGAAATAGAAATTACTGCCAGAGGGAAGAGAAGTCAAGAAGCCCTCCCTCCCTCTAGTGCTGAGAATTGAACTCACGACCTCATACGTAGGAGGCAGCTGGTTAACCACCGAGCTATACCTCCAGCCCCTAGCCTGACTTGTTGCCTGGCTGCTGAGTGTCTCAGCTCTGGCCTACATTGTTGAGAAATCCTGCTTCCTCAGTGACTTCTTTCTGTTTTTCTGTTTCCAAATGTAAGATTGCATCCACATTCCAGCTCTGGTGTTCCCGAGGTGCTAGGCAGAGCGGCATTTAGGGACTGTCACTTTGAATTTTTGAGCACCCAGTGCAGTAGGCAGGTGGGAAGGAAGTGAAGAGCTTGCTGCTCTTGTTTTCTCTGTAGGTTCCGTGCTGGGACAGCCTGCAGCTATAAAGTTCAGTGGTCCTACAGCCTTTGGTATAGATGAATAAGCTTTTTTTTTTTTTAAAGTTATGAAATAGAATTGATAGAATGTATATTAGCTGGTAATTTAACTCTTGAGAAAAGCTTTGAAATATCCATGAATAAAGCTGTTTAGTTTTTAAAATTTGTGTCTACAAACCTTAAAATTATTACATTAAGTTTCATATATTAAAAGTGGAAAAGTTCATGGCATTAGACAATACTTTTAAGAGTCTTTTATAAATAAAGTTTGCATTTACTATAAAGTAACGAAGTGTCTGGCCTTGTGAGGATTGTTTTCTTGTATCATTTTATGTTTCAGTGAGTCTGGGTTTCCCTCAACTATGTGTTCAACTTTGTTAAAGTATGCATGTATGGAACTAGGCATATAACTCAGGATTTTACCCTTCATGTGAAAGGATTAGATTTCTGTGAAGAAAAAAAAAAAACAAACCTCTAAAGCAGACAGCTTTCTTTAGAAGATATTTTTTTGAACAGGATATTATATGATAATTTTTTCATGAAAGGTTCGACATAGTTTTTGGAGTAGTACTAAAGTTTTATGTCATTTACATTGGACAGAATATGTTCTTTGGTTGCTTTCTTCTTAAAAACAAATTTTACTTTTAGGAGTGAAGGCTTGATACAGATAATTCCTTATTGGAATATGGATTTCTTGTCCTATATGGTGATGGTTAACCTTTTTTCCTGGTATACAATATATTTGGCTTCTTTAGCAAAATAGGTACTATTCCTAATTTTTCCTTCCTTCCTTCCTTCCTTCCTTTCTTTCTTTTCTTTTTTTAATTATTAATTTTCTGTTTTTTTTTTTTTTTATTTTGAGACAAGGTTTCACTGTGTAGCCTTGGCTGTCCTAAACTCACTCTGTAGACCAGGCTGACCTTGAACTCAGCGATCTGCCTGCCTCTGCCTTTCAAGTACTGGTTTCATGTATGTGCCCCACAACCACCTGGGATCGGGAATTAACGTCCTGGACTCGTGCTTTTGAGACTAGGTCTCTCTAGAGCTGAGAGAGGCTTCAGTTTCCCATCCTTCTGCCTCTGCCTCCCACATGTTGGGATTGAGGTAAAGTCTTATAACAGTAGACCACATCTCGTGTTTTCGTATTTAGTGATAGTGGCAGGCAGGCTCTTCAGGTCTTTCAGGTGCTTGGGGGCTGTAAAAACTAGAATAGAGACTGGGAACAGTTAGACAAAACGCAAGGATTATGTGGCAACCAAGAAGAAGAAATGGAAGCTGTCCTACTAAGCAGTGTGACTGGAGCTAGCTCTTTGACTGTAAGGAGAGGGGACGATGTAGTAGGGGACACGGCTCCAGTCAGTGAGTACTGTAAGTGGAGGCCACCAGTGGACAAGGCGGTCTAAACAGGGGACAAAAATGCATACTCTAGCAGAAAGCTTAGCATGATTAAGAGAAAGGAATTTCCTCCAGCACCAGTGAGTTGTTATAAAGACACAGACTCACTCACTGTTTCTGTTTGTGTTCTGGTGATAAAAGGTGCTCATGTAAACCGCAGTTAGAACATGCAGTCAGGATGAGATGGGGGTTTAGCAGATACCAACAGGAATTAGACTGTACTTGGAAACCATGAGGCATACATTTCAGTTTTATAAGCCTCTTGGCATACTGAGCAGGTCTGGTCGTCTAGAAGTTTGACTCTGTTGTTTTTCTTAGGAGAATGTTTTAATTGATTAGAAATTCTACACCTTGTAGATTATAGTGATACATAATTTTTTGAGGGGGTGGGTGATCTACTTTCTGGTAAGTTTGCCAAGCCATTTTATATGTCTTATATTAAAAAACAAGCCAGAGACATAAGCCTATATTCCCTTGTGGTTTCAGTCTTGAGATGTTTCCAGCATGGGTTCATTTGGATGTTTTCTTGTTGAACTTTAAAAAATTATCCCCATTCCCACCCCATCCGGTAACTGTTTTGTTTGTGTTGAGCATTGAACTTGGCTGCCTGCAATGCAAGTTAGGCATGTGGCCAGCCACTGAAGTATACACCCAGCCCCAGGGTTTTTAAACGTTGATCCTATCATGCTATCGAATTAAATATATTTTAATACTTTATGGCATTCTTGTTTGTCCTGGTCAATTTTTGTGTTTTATGTCTTTGTTATGTTGAGTGCTGCCTATTTTATTGTATTTCTGCGAGTCTTGAGGTATCTTTTGTTCTCAGTACATTGAGAAGGGGGCACAGAGAGGGCCGGTCAGATTCATTTGGAGTACTGGACCCTTTTTCGGCATTATTTACTTTGATGACTTCTTTGAATTTTGTTCTCTAAAATAATAATAAGCACAGTTAATTTGAGATGACTCTAAAAGTGTTGCTGTGTCCGTTTCTCTTGACACATCCACATCCTAATGTGCTGCAGTCTCAGTATGAACAAAAGATAGCATGCTAAAAATAGGTTTAGTTGGTAACAGTTAAAATAAACATAAAAAATATATATAGTGAAAATTTCCTTCCTTTTCCACGTCACTAGATGAACCCTTAAGTTGGTGTCTCAAGTTTTTACTGTCATTTTAAAATTTCTATATTCCCTATGACTGATCTTTGAAAAGTTTTGCATAGAACATATTCTGCAAATGATTTAGGAGAGGATAATATGGATATTTCAAAGTAAAGTTCTCTGATGTGAAAGGTCCGTTGGTGTTATTACATTTGAACTTACCATAAGAGGTGCTTTCCTGGGATGGAACTAATATGTCGATATGCAGGAAGGTGCCTCTGTTTACCCCAAGTCTGTGATTCCATATAAGGGCAGGGCTCACACACATCCCCGTGCAGTCCTCATCCGACTGAGGGGCCAGCTTGATGCAGGGAAGCAGCTGCTACTTGGTGTCCTTTGCTGAGTTTCT